ATGAACACACAACTACACACACAACTGAACACACACAACTGAACACACACAACACACAACACACAACTGAACACACACATGAACAACAAACACACACAACTAAAACACACACACACTGACACAACTGAACACACAAACACACACAACTGAAACACAAAACTACACACACTGAAACACACAAACGAACTGAACACAACACACAACAACTGAATGACACACAACAAACACAACACTGAAACAACACTTGTAACACACAACTGAACACTGTAACACACACTGAACACACACAACACACACACTGAACACACAACACACACACTGAACACACAACACACACACAATGAACACACACACACACTGATACACACAACTGAACACACAACTGAACACACAATGAAACACACAACTGAACACACACAACACAATGCAACAACTGACACACACGAACACACAACTGAACACACACAACACACACACACAACTGAACACACAAACACACAACTGACACACAAAACACACACTACACACAAACACACAAAACACACTGAACACACAACTGAACACACAACACAAAACTGAACACACCAAACACAACAACTGAACACACACAACAAACACACACACAACTGACACACACAACACACAAACACAAAACACACTGAACACAAACATACAAACACACAAACTGAACACACAACTGAACACACAAACACACAACTGAACACACAACTGAACACACAACTGAACACACAACTGAACACACAAAACACACAAACTGAACACAATGTCAACACACACAACTGTGAACACACAACTGAACACACAACTGAACAACACAACTGAACACACACTAACACACACTGAACACACAAACACATGACACACAACTAACACACAACCAACACACAACACAACACACAACTGAACACACAAAACACACAATGAACCACACAACATGAACACACAACACACAAACACATCACAAACACACAACTAACACACAAACACACAACTGTACACACAACTGAACACACAACTGTACACACAACTACACACACAACTGTACACACAACTGTACAAACACACAACTGAACACACAACTGAACACACAACTACACACACAACTGTACACACAACTGTAGAAGTACACAGAGGTACTCCAACCACAGAAGTACACAGAGGTACTCCAACCACAGAAGTACACAGAGGTACTCCAACACAGAAGTACACAGAGGTACTCCAACAACAGAAGTACACAGAGGTACTCCAACCACAGAAGTACACAGAGTACACGCAGTCGTACCGAGTATCTCGGTGAGCAGGGCGTAGGCCTTCGTCTCCTTCTCTCGGTTCCTCCTCATCCTCTCGATGTCGGCCGCAGGAGGAGGAAGATACAAACTCAGGTCTCTGCCCCCGAGTCCCAGGTCTGTGAGAGAAACATTTACTCTGACGTACTGTAGGCTCGTGGGCGGAGCCTCGTACACACTCGTACACAACAACAAGAGGAGAGTTAAAATTAACTCTCATGAAATCATTTGAACATTTCCTCAGAGTTTCTCTGAGTCACTCTGTTCTAGAGTTAATTTAACATTTGTGTAAAAGTTCATGAAGTAAAACTGGACCAAAGTTCCTGTTTAACCCAAATCCAGAGTTAAATGAAGGTTTAGAGAGTAAACAGATAACACTTTGTAGAGTTATCCTGATTTAACTCAACAACACACAGAGGAGTTTTATTTTGACACTTTAATTCACGTTAATTTAAGATGAAATTCAGAACAAAACTGGTTCAAACTGGTTCTTCTCTGGAGGGAGTTTGAAGTGGAGGAGACAAATTAACACTAAGAGAAGTTGAATTAACTCTAGAAGAAGTTAAATTAACTATAGAAGAAGTTAAATTAACTCTAGAAGAGAAGAAGTTAAATTAACTCTAGAAGACAGGTTTGTGATGAGGAACATTGTCAGAACATGAGAGAAAAAGAAAAAAATCAGATTGAGCAGAACATCTGGTCTTTACAAAGTTGAACTGACTTGAGTCTTTGTGGATCTGAACGTTCTCCAGCTCCTCCTCCTCCACCTTCTTCACCACCAGAGCGAAGAACACGGCCAGACCCACCACCTGGAGAACGTTTTAAGGACATTTAAAGAACATTTAACCTGTGAACCTAAACCAGGACTGAACCAGGACTGAACCGGGACCTTGAGGGGCTGGATGAGGAGCAGGCTCTGGCAGAAGGACACGCCCATGGACACGATCCAGCTGATGGACTTTTCTTTTCCAAACTTGAGTCCGTAGAGCATGGTGAAGTACCCGGACACGCCAGAGGAGGCGGCGACGAGCAGCCACGCCACGTACACGCACCACCAGGGCAGAGCGCGGCGAGGGGCGGGCGCCGGCAGGCTGAGGGCGGGGCACAAACACGCCAGGGTCAGAACTGGGACTGAACCGGGACTGAACCGGGACAAGACCGGGACAAGACCGGGACAAGACCGGGACTGAACCGGGACAAGACCGGGACAAGACCGGGACAAGACTGGGACAAGACCGGGACAAGACCGGGACTGAACCGGGACAAGACCGGGACAAGACCGGGACAAGACCGGGACAAGACCGGGACTGAACCGGGACAAGAACCGGGACAAGACCGGGACAAGACCGGGACAAGACCGGGACAAGACCGGGACAAGACCGGGACTGAACCGGGACTGAAACCGGGACAAGACCGGGACAAGACCGGGACAAGACCGGGACTGAACCGGGACAAGACTGGGACAAGACCGGGACAAGACCGGGACTGAACCAGGACTGAACCAGGACTGAACCAGGACTGAACCAGGACTGAACCGAGACTGAACCGAGACTGAACCAGGACTGAACCGGGACTAAACCCAGACTGAAACGGGACTGAACCAGGACTGAACCGAGACTGAACCAGGACTGAACCAGGACTGAACCAGGACTGAACCAGGACTGAACCGGGACAAGACCGGGACTAAACCGGGACTGAACCTTGACTGAACCGGGACTAAACCGGGACTGAACCTTGACTGAACCGGGACTAAAACGGGACTTAACTGGGACTGAACCGGGACTAAACCGGGACTGAATCGGGACTGAACCGGGACTAAACCAGGAATGAACCGGGACTGAACTGGGACTGAACTGGGACTGAACCGGGACAAGACCGGGACTGAACCGGGACTGAACCGGGACTGAACCGGGACTGAACCGGGACAAGACCGGGACTAAACCGGGACTGAACCTTGACTGAACCGGGACTAAACCGGGACTGAACCTTGACTGAACCGGGACTAAAACGGGACTTAACTGGGACTGAACCGGGACTAAACCGGGACTGAATCGGGACTGAACCGGGACTAAACCAGGAATGAACCGGGACTGAACTGGGACTGAACTGGGACTGAACCGGGACTGAACCGGGACTGAACCGGGACTGAACCGGGACTGAACCAGGACAAGACCGGGACTGAATCGGGACTGAACCGGGACAGTCTGTGGTCTCACCTGTAGTCCTCCTCTGTGTCTCTCAGTCTCTCCTTCAGGACTTGGACCTTCTCAAGACTCTGGCTGAAGCTGAAGAGGGACTGTCCTCTGGTCCAGGAGAGTCTGGTCCAGGAGAGTCTGGTCCAGGAGAGTCTGGTCTGGTCTGGTCTCTGTAGCTCCTCTTGGTCCATGGAGCTGAGATGTTTCTCCAGGTGGGACAGCTCCAAGTACAGCTCCTCCTCGGACCTGCTCCTGTCCGAACCTTTACCCTCTGAAACACAAGGACTATACCAGGACTAAACCAGGACTAAACCAGGACTAAACCAGGACTATCTACACACCAATTAAACAAACGTATAAAACCCTGAGACTGACCTGAGTCCTGACGGGGAGTGGCCCTCAGGTCTCGATGGGACACGTACTCCTCCAGATCCATCAAAACTGAACGCAGCTCCTTCTGAAGTCTGGTTATGATCCTGGACTTGGACTCCTCCATGGACTTTGAGAGAGACTGGACCAGTTTAGTCACTTTCTGCAAAACAATCAAAAAAATCAAACTGGTTCAGTGCTGGTTCAGTCCTGGTCTTGTTACCTTGGTGATGTGGTCTGCAGAGTCCTGGTCTGGTCCTGGTCTGCAGCAGGTCCTGGTCCTGGTCCTGGTCCTGGGTCTGGAGAACCTGAAGAGGCTGACGATGAGGATGTTGACGGGGAACATGATGAGGGACGACTGGATCCCGACTTTAAACTGCTGCCACGTGAACTCGAAGTGACCTGAGGCACAACGACCTGAGCTTTAAAGCCCCACTGCGGAACATCCACCCACACAGCACCACAGGACTGAAACAGGACTAAACCAGGACTAAACCAGGACTAAAACAGGACTAAACCAGGACTAAAACAGGACTAAAACAGGACAGCAGCCCCAGAGATTTAAAGACCCACAACGGAACATCAAGAACCCGGAGCTTAGTCGCCAGGTTCAGTCCCTGGTTTAGTCTTGGTTTAATTCTGGTTTAGACCTAATTTAGTCCTGGTTTTGTCCCTAGTTTAGCCCTGGTTTAGACCTGGTTTAGACTTGATTTAGACCTCTTTTAGTCCCGGTTTAGTCCTGGTTTAGTCCAGGTTTAGTCCTGTTTTAGTCCTGGTTTAGACCAGAATTTGTCCTGGTTTAGTCCTGATCTAGTCCTGGTTTAGACCTGGTTTAGTCCTGGTTTAGTCCTAGTTTAGACCTGCTTTAGTTCTGGTTTAGTCCTGGTTTAGACCTGGTCTAGTCTTGGTTTAGTCCTGGTTTAGTTCTTGTTATTGTCTTCTCTTCTCTTCTCTTGTTAAAATTTGAGATTAAACTTTGTCTTTGTATGAAAAATGTAAAATATAAAAGTTCTGAAAAGGAGCACGTCCTGCATCACCACATGATGACATCACAAGGTGGAAGTGAACAGAGTGTTTTCAGTTTGAGAGAAGAGCTCGTGTTAAGTCTGCAGGTTTGTGCGTCAGACGTGTGAATGAAACAAAACACAACTCCAAGTCTGTGTGTGATGAGTCCTGGTCCAGTCCTGGTCCGGTCCTGGTTCGGTCCTGGTCCGGTCCTGGTCCGGTCCTGGTCCGGTCCTGGTCCGGTCCTGGTCCAGTCCTGGTTCGGTCCTGGTCCGGGCCTCACCCAGGTCCATGACTTGCTCGGCGGGGTCTGTGGGGATTCCGTAGAACATGATGGAGGTGAGCATGGTGCAGAGGAGCAGGCTGAAGCAGCACGAGAGCCTCTGGACCCTGGAGAAGGTCGAGCTCGGAGGCCTGGTGACCACTGAGAGCCACAGGTGCCCGTCACTCAGGTCCCGCGTGGTCTTCATGAAGAACAGGTTACTGCAAGACCAGACAGTGTCCACCAGGGTACTAATAAGGGAGTATTTACCTCTGCGGAAGGAGTATTTACCTCTGCAGGGTCCTAACGAGGGAGTATTTACCTCTGCGTGGTCCTAACGAGAGAGTATTTACCTCCACGATGTCCTAACGAGGGAGTATTTACCTCTGCAAGGTCCTAACGAGAGAGTATTTACCTCTACGATGTCCTAACGAGGGAGTATTTACCTCTGCAAGGTCCTAACAAGGGAGTATTTACCTCTGCGAGGTCCTAATTAGGGAATATTTAGCTCTGTGGGGTCCTAACGAGGGAGTATTTACCTGTGTGGGGTCCTAACGAGGCAGTATTTACCTCTGCAAGGTCCTAACGAGGGAGTATTTACCTCTGCAAGGTCCTAACGAGGGAGTATTTACGTCTGCAGGGTCCTAACGAGGAAGTATTTACCTCTGCAAGGTCCTAACGAGGGAGTATTTACCTGAAGGTCTTGAGTTCCTCGTCTGTGGACACAGGGAACAGTTGGTCTAAAGTTCCGTCTCCGATGTCGAGTCCGATCCAGGAGTTACACAGAACATGGAACTTTGACCCGGTCTGAAGATCCTGGACCAGCACCGAGCTCACGAACCTGAGAGAGAACACCATCACCTCTGACCTCTGACCCCTGACCCTCTGACCCCCTCGTCCTCCTCTCACCAGCTGGGGTGGTCTCCTGCGTTGTTGTGCCACAGCCTCACGGCCTGGATCTCGCCCAGGTTCCCCGGGGCCTTCAGGAGGAACATGTCCACGGCTCCGCGCTCGAACACGGGCTTTTTGGAGTCGGTGAGGTGGTGAGGAGCGCTGGACGAGACGGACCCCACCAGGACCACAGTGACCTGAGGAGGAACCAGAGAAGAACCGTCAGCAGGTCCAGGCCAGCGTGAAGGAACATCACACAGGTCCTCTGAGCAGATACAGCAGATCTGACACTAGAACCCCAAACCTGAGGGACGCCGCCATACGATAGTGGTGTCAGAGATCAGCGCCGATCCTAAAAACAACGAATGGATCGGGTATCGGCCTCCAAATATCGTTCATCCGATATCGTTCATCTGACATCCTGATTGGACAAAGTGGGTGAAAAAAGTCTAAAGCTGTGTTCAGACGGTGGTGCGTCTTCAGGCGTCGACGTGGCTCATCTTGAGCATTCAGGGCGTCGCCGTCTGAAGTTGAAAATGCAGATCTTTTGGAGTCGGACACGTCACACCAACCAATCAGGGAGAAGTATCCAGAGACACAGAGTATTTTTCTTTTGCTCCTTCACAGCGTCGATGCATCTGAACTCAAATGCAAAGACTCCAACTCGAGGCGTCTGACACATTGTTTGACGCAGCTCCACAGGAACATGACCGTGTGCTTCCATGACGAGGACAGATTCAGAGTCGACTCATAATTATGAGTTTAAACTTGTAATTGTGACTTTTAAATTCGTAATTGTGACTTTTAATCTCAAATTAATCATTTTTAATCTCGTAATTGTGACTTTTAAACTCGTAATTGTGACTTTCTGAGAGGCTTTTATTTTTTGTGTTGAAGTCCCCAGGATCATGTTGAGCAGGGTCACAGGTCACAGGTCACAGGTCAAAGGTCAGAGTGAGGAGCCTGACAGCAGCAGGTGTGTTGGGGGTCAGGGGTCAGGGGTCGGGGGTCACCTGTGCAGAGGTGGCGGCTCCTCTTCGGTGCCCGGTGCTCACGGTCAGTAAATACTGATATTTATCAGACGGGTCATTATCGGCCAAAACCGTCACCTTCACCTGGAACCAGAGAAAAGAACCAGGACTGAACCAGGACTGAACCAGGTCTAAACCAGGTCTACAGCAGGACTAAAGTACCTTGCGTGAGTCGCGTCGGTCCTGGCGTCGTGCCCACAGGAGCAGGAGGGCGTAGAGGAGGAAGAGCGCCCCCACCAGGCAGACCACCACCGGGTTCTGGGTGAAGGTCCCGAACAGTTCTGCCGAGCGAGACGGGTCCACCAGGTTCGGAACCACGAAGAACGAGCCGCCGAAGAAGGTCAGGTGATCACAGAGACACTGGGTCTGTGCCAGCGTGGTGCCCGCGCCCACCTGCGGGCACAAGGACCAAACCAGGACTGAACCAGGACTAAACCAGG